CGTACGGTCGGTAGGAGGAGGGAGGGGGGGGGGGATGAATCGAGGGGAAAGGCTGGGGTTAACGCTCGATAGCGGCGACCAATTCCCTCTCCGTGTGTCCTGCGCTCTCCGCGAGATTACGCGCGGCGTCTGTGTGTGCGCGCGCGAAAGGTGGCTTTCCGGCCGAGTATTCCGACCACGGTGGTTTCTCTCTTCAGGATGCCGTGCCGCGTCACTGAATCGCCGCGAGGAGAGATTCGTTCGACAATCGCGACGATGGCGGGATATGGGGCATAGCCGGGTGAGTGGATCCCGTTCTCGCGGCCGAATGGTCGGCGGGTCTGGCTGAAATGGATGCCTCGCGCGGTGGGGCTGAGTGACTGCTTGGATTCAAGCGGCGGCTCGTTATCAATTCCCGTCGAGTCCGAGTCTGACTGAATGGGTTCACTCCTGTCAATCCCTCGACTCGTCGTCAATCGTGCGCTCGCGGGGGATCCGATAAGTCCGTCTTCGACGATAGCCCCGTTTTCACGGCGATATTAATTTTCATCATCGGTCGCACGCAAATCTGTTGCCGCAAATCTCTTCCCGGCTATGCGAATTTTAAGATTCAAGAATTTCCCTCCACGATGCACCTCTTCACCGAACTCGATCTCATTCTGCGAATTCTCTTCGCAAAAGATTGATTAGTGTTCGGAACTGTTGCGCATAGCTTCCGTGTTTTCTCGAATCTTGATGTTTACCGGCAAGGTCAGTAACGCATCGAGATCCTCCCGATAAGATCCTTTGGACCGGAACTTTGTGAGCAGAAATCCTACGAATATTTCATTCCGTACGCATGAGCGGTCGAAGCGTTAGTCACGGGATGCTGGTCAGAGCTGATATCCGGCGATAACGTGGTTTTCCGGATGCGGAGAGAGGGAGAGGTTTGTGGATGAAAACCATTCGCGAGGAAGGCTCGATAAGTGACCGGTTTCTTTTTCCTCGGGTCGTCGGTTCGGCCTCGATACTCCCTTTGGAAGGCTCCGTCCTTTAGATTTCCGGCCGATACTTCTCCATTCTGTCCTGAAAAAGTCGTGGCAAGAACCGTCGAGCGTTACCGATGCGAGAGAAGCGCGATCGATTTCGTTTCGCGAACTCGATGCTCGCTCGAGGAGAATTTTTCAATCGCCATCCCTTTCGTAACAACGACTCTCTGAGTAGCGGTGTGATTGATTCTTCCGTGTATTGATTAATAATTTACAATATTCATTCGCCGGCGTGAGCTGATTGCGATAGAAATTTTGTTCATTACACAACAATAATAATTGCATTTAACTCATCTCTCTCTCTCTTTGCGTCGCTTTCGAGTCACTCGTCGTTTTGAAACTTGCAAACAAACATAAAGTCTAAATGTCGAGAAACTAAATATACTCTCCGTAATGAAATTTGCAACTTCCGTCGATCACGCCAATAACTTACTGCAAAGCGCATCGACGGCGTAACGACAGTGTAATGGAATAAAACGGTCCACAGCGAGTTCGTAAATACAGATCGCGCCCAATAAAACAAGAACGTCAGCGAAGTTGCGGAGATTGACTTCATCGTGAAAGAGAGAAAGAGAGAGAGAGAGAGCGCGCACGGGAGAAAGCGTTGCGAGAGAGCGTTGTAAATTGCGACAGGGGACGCGGTATAAAGGGACAACGACATGGTTGCGCGCCGGGGCCGTGTCAGCGTGCCCGAGGGGTGAAAATACTTGTACGCGCTCCACGAGCACTGACGCTGCTGGCAAGTACTCTCCGTTAGGTCGAGTGCGCGAGGGGGGGGGGGCGAGATTTCTGTCTTGCGCGGGAGTAATTAAAACTTGAGTAAATTCCATTTCATACGGCGCCGTACATTCGCCGACGCGTTGATCCATTTCACCCGCGTTGCATCGCCATCGGCGAGGGCGGGACCGGAGAACACCGGTGAATCGGAGCGAGTCCGGGGTCGGGTACGCCTGTCGATTTCACGCACGCGGATTTAGTTGATCCGCGTTACCCGCGTTACCACTCATGACAGGCTGAATAGCTCAATAACTGCCTCGTCGAGCGTCGCTTTTAGCACCGGTGCTCGCGGTGATTAAAAACAACGCTCTGTCGTGATTCCGCGAAGCGGACTGTATTGCGACGGGCCGCATATTGAAGCGCTTTCGCGCTATCGTCGCGTAAAGCGCGTAAAGTAAACGCGCATTTCCGCACAGTAGTTTAATATATTTTAAGTATCATATGCGTAATCGTTCATCTTCTTTTTATACACGTCATTTTTCAAAATTGCTCATTTTTACTCAACGTTTGGCTCGTTCATTCGACAAAAAGTCCCACCGCGTTTTCAAACTCGCTGAATAAGCGGTAAATTTAATAGGTGGACAAATTTCTGCGAGGAACTCATTTGGCAGGTTACCCTTCCGCTATGTATCGATTTAACGACGAGCCGATAAACCGCGAACGAATGCGATTATGTCGGAAATAATGTAGCAGGTGGCTCGATGACCGCGTGCTTCCGACCATCGGTTCTCGCAGTAACGCGAGGGATTGTCGAAAATGAAAAAAAAAAAAAATCAACCGGACGATTGAACGAAGCTTGATACATCGCGCTGGCGCGATGATTACCACGTCGATCGTATTTCTTCGCAGTAAAACGTCCGACCGTAATTTCGCAGGCGTGTAAATCATCAAAATTGAAATTGATGAATCATTAGCCCCGTCCTGCTGCCATCCGCCCGTTTTCGAGCGGCGCCGCGGCCGCTGAGCGTTTAATCGACGCGGTCGTAAAAATTAATTTTGCACTGCGACACGAATTATTGTTTACGGACCGCCGACAACCAACGGCGGGATTAATATTTGTTTCTCCCGCCGCGCGCAGATATTATAATTATTAACTATCACAATTGGATAAGGAATGGAGTATAATGTTCCGCGCAACGATAAATAACAATATGCGCGGAGATGATATCATTATCGCGCGAATTTGTCGAGATTGATGTTTGTTGCGAACTTCTCCTCCAATATTATCCGTATTTTATGAAACAAAAACCGCAGGTTTTCATTGCGCTCGTTACACACATTTCTGCTTCGAATAAACGCAAGACAAAGACTACTCTTTTATTTCGGGTTGTTTGGAGAGCTGGATTATTACGCTTATAAAGTTCAAACTCAAGTAAAATCAAGAACGGGATAACCCGATGAAGGTAAGGGAAAAACCGGAATATATTTTAAAAGTTCCGGCGACCCTTTTTAGATGGAAACAACTTTACTTTCTTTCTCCATAAGCTCCTACGACTTTTCCGCCTCTTTTTACATACCTGATAAGTTAATCCGAGAGTATTAACCGAGAAGCGCTAAAGTTACCAAACGTCGGATCCTGGCGTTCATTGTTTAAACTAAGAAATAAATGTAGCATCTCAAATCGTAAACAACATTACGAAAAATATACAATTATTAGAATAAATTTATTATTTTCGGATAAAATTAATTTAAGAGACACAATCTTTCATCGTATATAACTTTTCAGCAAATTATTCTAAAA